AAAGGCCTATGAAGCGGTATATAAGTCTACTGCTATTGCTATTGCTATAATATGAACTATAAGTAATGACAGTGGAAGAAATGCACGAAAGCTATCTGTAACTAATCGACACGCTTTCTACAAGATGTAATGAAGGATAATTCTTTTTTTGTATTTTTGTTCAATTAAAATAAAATAAAAATTCAAAAAAAATGGACAATGCCTTGTTTAGTAGTGCTTTCATTCAAGCAGTCTTCTTCCTCACAGGGTGAGGTCTTCATTCCTATCTGTTCTTCGTGGCTTTAACATTGACGGTTTCCTCTCCACTGAGTTCCAGGTATTTCCCTCTTTTGCTGAATGAAAAATAATCTCCCTTGACTTTTCATGTAATGTATCCTTCAGTTCTACATAATCTGCTTATTCCCGCTTGAAATCTTTCTTGATTTCCTCTCTTTTGTCTAACAGGTCATGAAGGAGGAGGAGATTTGTGTGGTTTTCTGAAGGAAACGCAAAATATTTCGATTTCTGGCTCGATTTTCTTCTTTTCAATGTTGCTTGTTATTTAGTTATCCCGAGTGCTGTTATTGCCGTCCACCTTGTCTGTAAGATTCAAAGAAAAGTAGAACTTTAATTGTTTATAAAATGGTTAGAGATTATGTGAAAAAAGAAAAGAAGTATATATTACAATGAAAAAGCAAACATGCCCCAATACTACCGTGTTTTCCTGAAAATAAGACCCACCCTGAAAATAAGCCCGAGCCTGATTTTTTGGAGTGGGTCTAATATAAGCCCAACTGTGAAAATAAGCCTGGGAGTATGGGCATAGCCAGCATGAGAGGCAGCGAGCGCACAGAGGGGAGGGGCTGAGGCCTGCCGCCCTCTTGGGGCAGCACAACTTCTAATTCCAAGCATGGAGGCATGTATTGTGCCTCCTTTGTAGAAGAGGGGGGAGGCCTTTTCTAATCACTGTGATGCAGCATAGCACAGGGTGGTGGAAGAATAGAGAAAGCATCTTGAGTCCTGTGCATATCTTTTCACTAAGTGTAAGTGTCAGGCTTGCAGTCATATTCCTTTTAGGATCTTTGGCCTGCCACACACTCTATTATTTTTCTATGGTGTTTCATTAGTGCGGAATAGGGAAGGGGGAATAGTAAGGAGTAGAATGTGTTGTTGTCAAAATAAAACATTCCTTTCTAGAAACCCAAGGTCATTCTTTGTCTCTGCACCTTTGCACCTGACCAGAAATGCCAGCGTGGCAATAGAAGATTGGACTATGTGATGGACTTGTGGGTGTGGGGACAATTATCATGAATTTTCAACTGGGTGGAAAACCCAGGAAGCTTTCCGATTAGGGTTTTCCACAGATGTACCAACATCTCTCTCTTATTAAATTGGAACGTTGATGAAAGCTATGCCTTGGACTCTGATTTAATTCTGGATGATATTTGGAACGCTGACAGGGTGTGTGTGTGTGTGTGTGTGTGGTGGAGGGTCAGGTGGGGTAGTGAGGGCTCTGCGAGTGGGAGTGAGTGAGAGCGAAGGTGAGGAGCTAAGTGTTAATCTGACGGGAGGTGAGAAAGGTTTCACGGGCGCCACACACAACTCTGCCCTCCATCTTCCTTGCTGGGTTCCACAGCTGAGGGGCGTTAGAGCAAACCGCATGCAGCTGGCAGCATGACTTTTGCCCGTATCTTTCTAGGTGCAGCCCTTCTGCTTGTTGGGCTGCTTTGCGAAGCCGGCAGCTCCGCGGCCACCCACTTTACTTTTTCCCACTTTTTCCTCATGGGAGGATCGCAGGAGGCTTACGCAGTGGCACTAGAAGCAGGCAGAGCCAGAAGCATATGGGAGGCAGAGGCGACCTCAACGCACTGCCGACTCCATCCCACCGTCTCTCGGCTTGCCTGTGGCTGCACCGAACAAGCATCAGCACAGGGTGTCTAGATCACCTGCCTACCCCATAACTCTACCTGCTGCTGGTGCTGCCATGCAAACCTCCCATGAGCCTCCCGTGAGCCAGGCAGTTGTGCAGCATGTCCAGATCACCTGTCTTCTCCCTGCCGCCTGTCACTCCACGCTTGGAATTAATTATATTTGCACTGTACCAAGAAGGCTGAGGCATGCTGAGAGCTTGGCCCGTTGCAGTCGTGGACAAGCAAACAGTGCAATGGAGAGGGCGAGGCCAGCAGTAATGCTTAAAAAAAAGTAAGACCTTCCCAAAAATAAGCCCGAGTGCTTATTTTCAAGCCCAAAAAATAAGACTGGGTCTTATTTTGTGGAAAACATGGTAGAATAGTCTCTTACCTTATTTATGATTCATTTGACACATGGAAGACTACTGAGATCCATGTTGAACATTCAATCATATTCAGTTGTTTAGTTGGGTCAATCACAAATTCCTAGCAATGCAAAATGTTATTATCAAATATATCTTGAAGTGCTGGGGATAGATTATATAATTACAGACATATCCTTACAGAGAGAAATACAGATACACCCACCTATACATGGAGAAAATCTATGTCTTTCAAACATGACAAAGTATCCCAAAATGATTACAGTCAAACCTTCTGAGCTAAATTTAGAGATGTGGGGGCTTTAACTGATGAAATGATGCTGAAAGCCTCTGCAAGCTTTGAAGCACCACTTTTGCTCATGGAAGTCCTCAGCTGCAAATAAGGGCTGAAAATACTGTCTACAACCCCTCTGGTGACATCCTTATTCAAGTAGTCCTCATTTAACCTACCACAATTGAAAATGATATTTGCATCACTAAGCAGCTCAATCATTAAGCATGATGTCACATGACAGCGCCAACTTACATCTGTTCCTCTGTAGTTGTTAAGCAATTTACTGTGGATTGTTAAAGGCAATTTCATATGACCGTGACTTGCAATTTCCTGATCCACTGATGTTGCTTATCAGAAGCTAGCTGGGAAGATGACAAATGGGGATCATGAGTGTGGGATGCTGTGGCCATCATAAATGTGCAACTATTGGATGGAACTAATCAAGGAGAGAAGCAACCTAGATTCTAGAACTTCCTGTTAGGAGAAACTTCCTAACAATGAAAACAATTAACCAGTGGAACAGCTTATCTTCAGGAGTTGTAGGTGCTCCATTACTGGTGGCTTTTAGAAAGCGACTGCACAGCCATTGTCTGAAATGAGCAGGGGATTGGGACAGAAGTTTCAGCTCATTCCAGTGATGGGAGCACCCACCACGTCTGGAGGGAAGCCATTCCCAAAGAATCAACCTTAATTAGAAAGAGACTTTTTAAATCTTCCCACCAGAAGGAAAATTGCAGCCACCAGTTTCATAGCATGCAGCAGCACCAGTGGGCTTAAATTTGGGGAGGGGAGGATCCTGCAGCAGCAGCAGCTGGCATGCTTCAGCCCAGTTGCTTCTCTGCTTCTAGGACTCTCCTTCCACCTGCCCTCAAGTCATCTTCCAGCTGCTGCTTCCAGCTGTGAAAGAGGACAAAAGCCTCCCTGCACACCACCTTCCTCCTATGAGGA